GGCGGCCCTCGCGGGAATCCCCTCCTGGGCTCCGGGAGAAACCCGGTGACCTCCCGTCCGTCCCCGTCCACCGAGTGGGGTTAGGAGAGGCACAGCGCCTGGCTGTAGGGAAGGGGCACCCTACGTGTGCGATGTCGTGTGAAAGTCAAAGAAGCCAGGTCACCTCGGGGAAAGGGGAGCGGGAGGTGATTCATCAACGCAGGCCTTAGTGGGGAGAGGCAGTGACACCGTGAGGTGCGTTTCACAGCTGACAGGGCCTTTGAGATGCCCCTAGGGGTGTTGTAATGGTTCATTTACATGGAAAAAGCTTCTCCACACCTTATGCAAAACTTCGAAATCCATTTGATTTCTGGCAATTCCATTTCCGTACCGTATATTGGAGGGGTTTTAATTCTTCCCTTTTTATTGGTACAACGCGTTAAGCATGAAAGCAGGAACTTTGTTCCTGAAGAGCTCAGCTGCTCAGCCTATTTATTTGCTACCTAAAGTTCCCATCTTCTGTTCATGACGTACAGCTGGCGGGTATGGTAATACATGTGATGTCACGAACTGCAGATTATAGCTTCAGGTAGGAATAAGATACAAGAACAGATGGACTTGCATCCTGCTTTCAAGCAAATGTTCTTCTAGTAATAAAGAAAGTGAAGGAAAAAATAATGAGATATGCATACTTTCTGTGTTAAAAAAAGTCACTGCACCTTTTCAATAAATGAAATTTTACAAAAACATACAAGGAGCAGAAATGATTTAATTAAAACACTTTGCAGAAAATGTTTTTTGAAGGTGACAGAGAATACAAGAAATTGCTGTACAAAAGAGAAGAGTCCTCCTGGAAGAAGCCCCAAAATTTCTAGAATTTCAGTGAGGCAGGGAGAGGAAGGTAGCTTTTTTTTGGGAAGCATGTGTTCATTTGGCTGCAGTCAAGGTACCAGGTTTATTTTCTCCTGGGTTTGATCGTAAGTTCAGAGGAGTCCTGATCAGCCAGCTACCCCTTCTGACAGGAGAAGGAGCTGGGGTGCTGCAGGCAGCTCTGACTGGCACTGGCAGAATATATCTCAGCTTTTCTGCCTCAAAGTTACCTAGGGCTTGTAAGGAAGTAAAAGGAAATAATAAAGTTTGGCTAAGGTTCATGTACAGAGGTCTCTTGTGTTGCATTAGCCTATTTCGCTGATTGTGTTCTTGTGAACTGTTTTTGAAAGGCTTGACCTATGTCACTGCATGTGGTTTTTGGTTACAAGGCTTCCAAGAGAAAAGGCACGAGCCAAACTGACCCCGCTAAAGGTTCACGGGGAGAAGTAGGAAAGTTTCTCAATCAAGTCTAAGAGTAGGAGGGTTAGCGGACTCCATCTTGATGGGTAAAGGCCCACGCTCTGTAAAGGGTGCTCTTGAGCACTTGCAGAGTAGGTATACCATTCCTCTTGGTTTGTGCTGTGAGCAGAAAGAATGGTCAATCATATTTCCTATCCAATACCAGCCAAGGGGAAAGGAAAGAAAATTATACCTGATTTGTAATTTTTTTTCCAGATCTGAATCCTCTAAAGTGACATAAAGAATCATGTGTATATCACATGTAATGAATGACATGTTTACATTAGGTTATATACTGTACGCAATGAATGCAGTGCTGCAAAGTGCTTAGTGTGGGAAATGCACTTGTTCCCCACCCTCGTCTTCCAGAGAAAAAGGGAGCAAGGAGAGAAGTGTCTCAACCCAGGCCTGTTGCTGGGCCCGTGACAGAGCCAGGATTAGGCTGTTGATTCTTGCAGATGTCCATTCTGCCACTGCAGTCCCTGCCTGGCACTTGAACAGGACAGTGATGATGAGAAAACAAGTCTCACGTGGTCACTGATCAGGTCCCCCATCCCCTGCGCTGTATGTGGCTGTTTGCCACCGGCCACTGCAGTTGTAATGCAGCCTCCAGGGATGCATCGCTGCTTCTCCCACTGCTCATCAGCAGTAAGGCACTTTCACAACTAGTCTGACAGTTTCCAACAAGTTTTGGGTGCTCTTGGTGTTGCAAGAGCTCTTTTTAAACCCTACTTGTTTATATCTTCTATTATCCCCTTGCAATCTGCCTGCGCTGTGGTATCTTCAAAACATTTGCAGTGAAGAGGCAGCCTATTGCTGTGATTAGAATTGACTTTTGGTGAACACATGCTCCCTTGTCTCTGTCCACCTGTTTTTCTCCTTGACGAGCCTTGGGGACCATGAACAAATGTTTTGTTGTGGGTGCCCAAGGTCTAGCACAGTGAGTTACTTCTGGGTTTGTGGCCCATAGACACTGTTGAGTTTGAAATAGCAATGAAGATAGAGCTTGTGTTGGGTTGTTGCATGATTGCTTGAGTTCTTGGCTGAGGGCAGAGCTAGCAATGCATCATTAGGAAAGGAGCAATTAAAACTTGGATTGTCAGGTCCCTTGGGGCTGTAGGCATCTGATCATCACATCCTTCTCAGGTGTTACAGTTGCTGTTTTGTGTCTCGGCAGGGTTCATCAGTCATGGCACGAAGGGCCTTGAAACTTGCCACGTTGGCGGCAGCCACTTCTGGCATCTATCTGTATGGCAACAAGTTCCTGGATCCCAATGATTTTGGAGTTGTTCGTGTGGGCCGAGCCATTGCCACAGTAAGTTTCATCCTAGTAATGTGCAGGAAACATTCCTAGGTGGGTAAGGGAATTGGCATTCACAAGAACTTGGGATTTCTTGTATTCCTTCTCTGCATTTCCAGTTGGCAGCTGGCTCCGAAAGTCAGAAGGTCAATAGGGAGCTCTTCGAGTTGTTGACATGGTGGGGAGAAAAGAGGGGAAAGCATAGAAGGAATAGAGCTGTTGTTTGCACGTCTTGGAAGAAACAGACATATTGGGCTGCAGAGAACTGTCTCTGCTTCACTGGATAGGGTGGGACCTTCAGAGCAAGGGCTCACTTTGGGCCCACATCTTCATCAGCCATCCTTTAAGGCCAGTCACCCAGATACAATATTGTGCTGCCTTTAATGGTGACCTAGTTCAAACCATCTTGTCTGTGTATGCCATTTTTTACATCGGAACATTTTGTTTTAAGGATTGTGGTTGTTGTATTGATATGCTACGGTAGCCCCTGCCCTATGACCCTTAGTAAGAGAGATTTGGGGAGAGGAGGGCAGGTGTTTCAAGGATCATTCTTAAAGCAAGGGTAAACTAAGGATGGGAGATGATGTACTTCTGCGATTGGATTGGTTTCCAGATTTGTAAAATAAACCCTACATCTGCCTAGCATCACTGCTATTTCACCCTTGTGTTGATCACTGCTCCAGAAAACCTGAGCATGGAGACTGCCAGCCGAACATGTTGCTGCCTTCTCCTTGAGAGTATTCACTGATGAATCCATGAGCAGCCAGGAACAAGGAGAGCAGAGACTCTGGAGGGGGTATCAGTCTCCCTGTACCTCACTTACATTATACACCTGTCACTTCAGGCCACGATCTCCATCATTTACAGACCCCCAGTGGTAAGCAGCTGTCTGCCTGCATATTCTATGACTTTTAAGCACTTCATTAATGAGTTTTACAGGGAGTCAGCTCCTGAGGGCAGATGCAATAAGAAAGAAGCTCTGTGGGTTGGCTCAGGTGCCGTGCTGTTTATATGTGCAAGCTGCACCATGAACTATTGTGAAAAGTGAGTGTTTATTTTGAAAGGGTGAGGGCAGAAATACAAACTGTAATCTTTCTTTCTTAGCTAATAAGTGCTAAGCTTTGTGCTCTGTTCCTGACCATAAGGCAGTGC